AAATAGGACAACCCATATAATTTAATGAGGCAAAATTCTGCATATTGGAAGTTTGTTGTTACACGAAATGTTATACAGAACCCATTGCTATAGCTGGTTACCTCTCTCTCTATAAATTGAAGATCAAGTTCAGATCCAGTTTATCACTTACTTTTTATTGCCAAAATGTTTGTCGTGTATTGTAAGTAAAATCTTCAAGCATTTATTTACATGGTAAAAATCATATTTTTTTTTAGGGAATTATTTGCAAGATATTCAGGGTAAATTTACTAAATGGTTTGTATCACAAGCAAGAGATGTGTCATTCATTATTGAATTCTTTTTCAATTAAAAAAAAACATGTATGAATTTTTATCAACATTACGAACAACATTTAGTAATTATTATGATAATAGTAATACAATATATTTAACCAAAAGTCAAATTGATATATTAAACAATAAATTTTCATATTATCCTTCTTCAATAATTAGAGATGTAATTGTTACTAAATTAGTTAGTGATATATCATTACAAGGTCAATTATTTAAGAAATTAACCGTTTCAAGCATTGGAACTTCAGCAAATTTATCAAACACAATGTATTTTATTATTAATAAATTTAATGAATCTAAAACTGAAGATTTATTAATTAATAGTGCTAAAAATAAAAATAATGATGATATTAGAATTTGGGTTGATTCAGAACTCATGTTGAGTGAGGTTATGATGAAATGTGACCAGATGAAAAGTGAGTATGCTGATATTACCAAGAATTTAAATACAATACAACGTCTTTTACAAGAAAGGAGAACTGGAATTATTGAGGAAGAAAAGAAATTAGCACGAAAGATTAAAGAAAGTCAATATCGCGGAATTAAATCCGGTTTTTTAAAAGGCCTAGGGTTAGGAACAGTTACTGCCATCCCGGTATATATATACATTTCACCTTTTGATTGTGGAATAATATGGGTTACTACAGTTGTGATGGGTGTGGTTCTAGGAGCTACTCTTAATGAAAAACGTGATAAAAAACAAGAAAAGGCTTTATTATTAAAAGAAGATCTAAAACATATTGACTCTATTGTTGTTGATGTTAAAGAAATTAAAAAAAGTGTAGGTGTATTTGAAAATTATTGGTTAAATCAATTCAATTTAGTTGGTGATTCTAGGAATTCAATTATCGCTAATATCATGAATAACAATAACAAAAACAATAATGATAAATTTTCAATTTTAAAATCTTGGATTCAAGCAAAAAAAGATTTTGATGATTATCAAACAAACTGTAAGCAATTTACACAATAATTATAATAAAAATTAAAGGTTTTTGTTAAAAATTTATTAATGTAATTCATTATTTGATCAATCTCAAATAACCAAATATCTTGTCAAAAAATCTTAATTCTTTTTTCAAATTCAACAGCTTCACTTTTAATTAATTGAAATTCAGATAGTAATTTATATCTCTACCATCATTATTATTATGCATCAAAATTACATCTGTCATTATTGCTGTCATTATCATTCTCACAAGTAACAGATTTTAAAAGTGAATTTTTTCATATTATCAACATCATCATTGCTATCCAAAATCTTTAAATGGATATGAAGAGGGTGACGACAATGATGTCATTTTTGAAAAAACTTGATTAATTCCTGATTAACAGAAGAAGTAACTGGATCTGGTTTCTCAATATGATTCATCATTATCATATACATCATGCTCCCTACCAATTGGTTAATGAGGAGTGTTGATCACCCCAAATAAATTTATATAGTAATAGGAATATTGGTTAGTGCAAGGCATCCCTAATTTTTGGTATTAGATCATGAATTCCAAAATATTTTCTTTCCCAATTTACAGGTATTTCATATCCTTCACCATCTAAATCATAATCAGGTCTGCATTATTGTTGTGTTATGTGAGATGAATGAATGATAAGTAAATTGTAGGTTTATTCATATATTTGTATATAGACAAGTATTTACCTTGACACATCGTAGGAAACTTGGATTCCTTCATCCTATAGAAAATTTTTTAATTTTATCTAATAAAGAAAATTACATTCAATGTTAATTTATTTACTCTTACTTTCTCTTACCGACTTGGATAGTTCTCTTCTCTTTTTGTTTTAATAAAGGCAATATCCTGCTCATATAATTTTATTAGAATAAAGTAAATATAATAATAATAATTCACAAAATAAATTCCAAATTAACTTTATATGAGAGGCTATTCCTCTTGAAAATAATTAAATATATATATAAACATATTTAAATTTAACATTTCAGAAAAACAGATATGCCAAACAAAAGTCTATGAAGTTTATTCAGTCTCAATTTAACAATTTCAACTGCATCATAGATATTATTGACTTCTCTGGATATTACCTAGATAATAGGAAGTCAGATTCAGTATTAATGAAGTTATTTATTAAAACTAGATGAGAATTATTAGAATTAGAATTAGAATTTGAATTTGAATTTGAATTTGAAAGAAGTCTTGATGGTATTTGTGCTATATGATTAATTGGGTATAATTGATTAGTTTTTATTTTTTTTAAGTTGATATTATTTTGTTTTAACCATGAGTTAGACAAAGCACATTGTGAAAGCCACCCATTTTTATAATAGAAAGTTATTAGATTGTAGGAGATGGATGTGAAGGATGATTTGATTGGCTAAATCAATTTCGTCAATTTCGTCAAAAGATCCTTGGTGATAATATGAATTTCGTCATGTACAATTTCGGCCAATTGACTAAATTCAACCATTCTTAATGTGGTACAATATTTAAATCGTTATCCAAAAAAAACAAGGTTCTTACTTTAACGTTAAGTTTGGATGGAAAATCTGTGTTCAGTTTGACCTTGTCAATCTTGGCCAAAGAAATACAAATAAGGAGGATCTTGCATAAAAAAATCAGCTGTTCTCATATGTATGTATATATTAGCTTTAGTTTTACAATATATTCAAAGTTTTAATTGAATTTAATTGGATAGAATTAGGAGTGGTTATTATTTGGGGCATGGAAAAATAGAAACAGCCCTAACTGCAAACCTCGGATTGCCTTAAAACTTCATCAATGTCTGGGATTGAGATTTTTTCATAAAGAAAATTAAATTCACTGGTTGTAGTTTTATTCAATAATGATGATACTTCATAGAAATCTAAATTGAATATTAGTTCCATTATTATTTATTATCAAACACTTCTATTTTGAAAAAAATTTTTTTTTAATTGGAAGTGATAGAAACTGGTGAAACGTTGTGATAGTGATTGTAATAATGATGAGCAATTTCTGCAATTATTCATCAAATTTATTTAAAATTTTTTTCTAAATTTTCTAAATATAAAATTAATACATTTTTAAAACAACAATACTATACAAATATTGATAACATTTTTAATAAATTTCACCGATCATTAAATTGACAAATAAGAATGAAGAAGGCGAAATAATAATAGATTGTGAGTATATTAATATATAATGTTATTAATCTATATATGCTAAATCATTATGATGTTTCATGTTTTTGAATTGCCATCTTATAAATTTTAGTGTATTGATCAACAGCTCCACCAACTTTATTCCAATCTAAACTTAAGGCATCCTTAATCAATTTCCTCGAAAATATTTCTTTGCCTCTAATATCATGTGACAATTCTTTTATATCATTGATGGCTGTACTTAAAGCCAATCTCATTTCCTCAATTGATAAATCAAGCATATCATTTGCGTATATATTAAACAAATATGAATTATAGTTGAAATCCAAATCATCTGATGGTGATGATGGTATATTATGTGTTTTATTTTTTAAAAATTCCTTTAATCCACCAACACCTGTACTAACCACTGGAGTTCCAAATAATAAACCTTCAACTGCCACTAATCCAAAGCTTTCTGTTATGCTAGGCACAAATAATATATCAGCAGCAGCCCTATACAAAACACCCCAATTTTGTTGAAATTCAAAATCACTAATAACCACAACATTATCTGGGTACTCTTTACTTATGCTGATAACTTTTCCCACAGGATAACTATTACGTTGTCCCATTATTATAAATTTAGCATTTAATTGTGAAATAATTTGAGCAGCATCACGTAAAAATTGTACACCTTTATTATATTGGAATCTACCTACAAACAACACAATCACACGATTCAAATCTTCTTCTCTCAAAAGACCTTCCCTAATCAAATGTTTTTTTGCACTATATTTTGAATAAATTACCAGGTTATTAAAATGTTCTTCAATATTTCCATGAACAAGGATATTTGGATTGAATGTATTAATGTTTTTTGGAAAGTTGGAATTGGTTTCAATTAATAATATGTCATTAAATGGATTAGAACTTATAAGATCAATACCACTAGTTATGCCAATCCAATTTCCTGTACTAGCACGTTCCAGTATACTAGGCATAATCAATTCTTTAAGATAGAAATCCATCGGTCCTTCCACCATTTCTTTAGCCATTGTATATGAAACAAATGTGACATAATCTGCTTGATCAATTGCTAATGATGATGTGTACATTCTTGAACTATGAAAATAATTTGGCTTTTCAGTTGTGTAATCTTTTAAATCCATAAATTTTAAAATATTTACAACTTCATTTGAGTACAATTGCTCTTCCAAATAATCATGTAAAGTATAAACAATAGCAGATGGTGGTTTACCAAATCTGTTGTTTTCTTTATTTAAATCCTTAAGGAATTCAATTACCAATGCATTTGTAGTACCATGAATATGTACAATATCAACACCATGTTCTTCTTGAGTATCAAATAAAGGAGTATCAACAATATTGGTTATATATGCTATTAATTCAGCTGCAGCTTTGCAAAAATATAAATCCCTCCATTCTTGAGGTAAACTTGGTGGTGATGAATATATATCAGTGACTCTTCTTGATTTAAAGGCTAAATTAAAAGGTGCCACACCTTTACTATGACCTATTGCAAAAACCCTTATAGCTTTTGGCTCTGGTGGTGGTTCGTCATTCAATACATCGTCATCTTGAGTTATATTCCAAAAAAATTGATATACTGTAAACACAACCTGTTCTGAATTCCCATATTCATCTTGAATATCAATTGACATTTGAGCAAAACCATGAATGTCATGATGTGACTTCAAGAAAGAATAGTAAGGCATGATTACATTCACTTCCAATGCACTATTAGCAGTTTGTGCTTGTGACAATCCTGTAACTATATGACCTAATCCACCCATTGATGCTAATCCGAATTCTTTTGTGACATGAAAAATATTGGTAACTTGATTTAACTCAGTTGTTACATTAGAAGGTATACCAATATATTTTACTGGTTGGTAATTTTGTTTTTCTTTTTTTTAAAAACATACAAAAATTTTTTTATTATTGTTAATATTATGATGAAAACATCCATTTTATAAATTATGATTGAAAAATATTTTAACGCACCTATTTTGGGATGACCATTCCTCGAAGACAATAAGAAGTTCATAAACATCAAAACACCTGGAAGCAAAGCTAAAATAATCATAACCACTATTAAATATGATACACATCTCCAACGTTTTCTTTCTATATATGGTCCAATTAACGGCATATGATTCATTCTATGTTTTGTCATAATAAATTGATTATTATTATTATTAATAAAAGAATTGTCATTTTTTTCACATGGAATTTTGGCTTCTAAATTTCCTAAAAGTTGATCAGACAACATATTAGCGTTATTGTAACTAGTAGTGGCTTCAGTTTGAAAATTTGGTGATCTTGATCTTGGACGCATTCCTGGAGAGTTCGTAATTATTTAATGTTGGATTTATTAAACAATATAGTGTTTTCATAATTTATAAGTGATTGTTAATTAAAAAAGTATTACAAACAAACAACAAACGTTTGATTGATAAAGGATCTCCATAACAAATAACAAAATTGAGTTTTTTGTGCGAAATTGTGTTGCATAATATTATTAATAATGCATTATTATTATTATTATTTTATATTATTTGCCATATTTCACACGACTAAAAATTTTTGTTAATATGATATTCGCCAGTCAACGCTCGTCATTGACTAATAACACACCATTATGGTGAAGCGTAATAATATTCATACTTTCTTTTCAGTAGACTTGAGTATGCTGAGTCCTTTACATTATTTAGAATGATAAAATATTTTTCTAGTTGTATATTAATATTATAACTGTACTTTCTAATGTTATTTTTTTTTTGTTGTCGTTGTAATGAAATAAATAAAATATGTAATTTATTTAAATTACTTCTTTATTTTCGAATTACTTCTTTGGTAGTCTATTAAATAGGACTTTTGTGATTATTGGTGTTGAAATTTTAATGAATTATGCTAGCAAGCCTCGACATATTATTCAAAAAGGGTAAAACCATAATTTAGTAACGAATGACTTGACTCAACGTATGACTAGTAGTTTGGTCAAGTATATCATTAGGGATACGCACTCAAATCTTATCGCCAGATGCAATAATAAATTTATTATTGAATATCTATCGCCATTCTATTCTCTTGAAATCTTGCTTCATCTTTACATGTATTAATATCATTTTGAA